GTTCGTGCCCCGGTCCGGGAAGATCCCACATGCCGCGGAGCGGCTGGGCCCGTGAGCCATGGCCGCTGAGCCTGAGCGTCCGGAGCCTGTGCTCTCACAACAGTGAGAGGCCCGCGTACCGAAAGAAAAGAAAAAACCAGCTCAGGAGTCAGCTAGCTGTCACCAACTGAAGGCCCTTAGCAGGTCAAATTGGGGAAAAGGAAGAAAATGGAAGAGAAAGGAAAAAAGATGGAAAAAAATATATACGCATAACATAAATATATAAAAATGCGCAGTCTCATGTAAATAGCAAAGCGGTGTTATGTATTTGACAATATTCTGTTTGGCACATTCTATTAATTTTATTTAAATATTAAGGACAGATTCACAAATGAAAAATAAAAAATTAAAAAAAAAAGGAAAAAGGGACACAGTTTCCCATCCCTTGAGAGACCCAGGACCGACACAGACCTGAGGGGAGACGGCTAACTCTTCTGAGTACCCTGCCTTCCAGACGCACAGCCCCAGGCCCCTCGCTTCCCTTCGGCGGCAGAGGGCGCGCCCCCCGCAGTTTGCACAACCGCGGCGGGGGCGGAGACAGGCACCGAGCCCGCGCTCACCTTGCCGTCACTCTTCCTCCGGATCTTCTGGCAGCGGCCGTAGGAGCCCGTGCCAATGGTGTACAGCACCTCATAGTCCTCCGCCCGAGTCGGCATGGCCGGACCCGCGCAGGACACCTGAACGTCGCACCACCGTCGCGAATATGCAGCCGCCGAGTCGGAGACCTCAAGTCACAGCGCCAGGCCGCCCCAGTCTCCAGCCCCGTTTAACCGTCGCGGGCCCCCGCCTCGCAGTCTATTGGCCTGCGGTAAGGCCGCTTCGCCTCTCTGATTGGCTAAGAAGAACACAACACCCTGGGCATCTTGGGAAAAGTGTATCGCTAGGCAACCGCGTCGGCGTCGGTGTCGGCATCTGCTTCAGATGTCTCGGGAGAAAGGGGCGGAGCTAAAACCAAAGAGAGGGCGGGGCACAGAAAGCCGCAGTGCCGGGCGGTTCCCCGCCACCCTGCTTCTCTGGCTGAGGTCGCCAAGGAAACCGAAGTCCAGAGACCTCTCTTCAGACTTATCTGCTCACTGCCTCAACCAGCTGCCTTTGCACTCTGACCGCTCACACAACCCATTCTCTGTACGCGCCCTCCTCTCTCAGGTTCCTGTACCCTGAGCCCGGGGCAGGGTCACGCTAAAGTCTGGGTGAGAACTGAGTACAGAGATGAAAAGGACTGTCTCTCCCTGAAGGGTGCGCGAATAAGTGCTGACAGTGCTGCGGGACTGTGTACAGTGCTTGCGGGATAAGCACTTTACATGTATTGTAAAGTAATAAAGCAGGAATTGGCGTTATTTCCGATGAGGAAATGGAAGCACAGGAAGGTTATAGTATTTGCTTAGGTCCAACAACCGGGAAGAGAAGGATAAATGCAAAAACAGTGGATACTCATAGTAATGATTTAAAGTTCACACATGACTCTAGGATGTAGTCCTCATAGAGAGACTATATCTTTGAACACCAAACTTAGAGGCCTGTTTAACATGCAGAGGATGTATACAAAACCTCAGGGTGCAATATGGAGGTCCCTGATGTTTTGGAATACCCAGGAGAATATGGTGGCTCTAAGGCAGAGAGAGGTTTACCTTTAAGACTCCTACAAATATTTATTTTATTAGAAAAGACTACCAAATAGGTTATAAGGGGTGCCAAGCACATAGTTGATTGACAATATTTCATTGAATGCAGCCTTTTCTGAGCATGCACAGAGACAAACATTTCCAGCTCGCCCAGCCAGATGGAGCAGTCCCACTTTTACCTGGGAGAGGGGACCTGGAGACCTCCATCCAAAGGTGGAGGAGTACTTTACAAGAAGGCTAATAATTTGGCAATGCATAAATAGGTCAATTTTCTTTAAATATCTGTTCAGCATGGGATTGAAAGTAACTTGATTTCCTATTAATAAGAATTACAAACCTCTTTACGTTAAAAATAAGGAATTTATTACCTGCACTGAATATAACATAATTGGAATTGCCAGCCAGGAGATTTTGAAAGTAACATTCAAGGGCACTGTCTTACCTCAGGGGAATGGAACCAGTTTAGTTTTCAAAAGGTATGTAAGGAGCCACAAGTGGCTCAGTTAATTGGCTTTATAATTTTTTATTTTAGTACCTCTTAAAGATTGACATCCCTGGAGCTCTTTCGCTGGCCTACCTCAAATCCAACCCTGCACCTTCTCTCTGGCCATTCTTATGCTCTGACGCTTTGCCCCAATTCCCCAAACCCGGCACACTTTCTCAGTTCCCTCCTACCACCACCACCTTTGCACCTGTTACTCCATTTGTCTGGAATACTGTCCATCCCACTCCCTTATCCACTCCCCTACCCCTGATCATGTCTGTCTAGAGGACACAACTTGTCTTTCAAGACTCAGTGCCAACTTTCTGTCCTGTACTCTGGAAAGCCTTTCCTAGCATCCTAGAACAAGCAATTCCTCCATCTATAGTGTTCATAAACCACTTTGTACATAAGTCCACCTTAACTTGTTATTTATCATTATCTGTTTATATGGATCTCACAGTGGCTCAACTTCAAATTCCTTGTAGCTAGCATAAGCCCTGTAATAAAAGAGGCATGCAAAAAATCTTTGTTAAATGAAAATATGAGAAAGCAGCTTATTTACAATCATGTAAGAATTTGGATGAGCCCTCAAGTACTCACGTTTCAATAGCCTCCAGCCCTGTGGCAGAGACTAAATACTGGGTAAAGAACCATCCCAAGAGTATGGAGAGTGGCTCCTAGGCACATATGTTCATTCAGCAAATATTTATTGAGCACTTTTTATGTGCCAGATATAATGATAGGAATTAATATGCTGAGTGTTCATTAGAAAAGAGACAGAGATGGTAAAGAGTGACATGGGTATGGCAGGACAAACCCTAAAAACATGCCAAAGTTAGCCCATATCATTGGGTGGGAGTGAGGGGCAGGACAGCCTAGACGCTGAGAAGAAAGAGACATTGGTGGCTGAGGAGCATGTGGAGGTCGATCAGGAACACTTTAGAGGAAATACCCCTTCCCCCATCACTTCCTCCCTCCTTCCTTCATATTCCACCCATCCTTTAAGACTCAGCTCAAGCCCAGTTCCTTCCCTGAAAATTTCCCTGGCTGCCTTCAACCCACGGTGACCTCCTAAAAGAGCAATTAACTGTGTTCTTTACTCATTTAGGATGTGCCATATAATAGTCTGAATGACTTGCTGCTCATGCATATCTATCTTACCTGACCTATTAAATCGAAAACTCATCCTTCAACAAGTATAAATAGAGGCCCTGCCAGGTGCTGAAGATACCCCAGTGAGTGGGACTGACGTGCAGTCTTGGAGGTGGAGACAGTAGATGTACCAAGGAGACAGAGAAATGCAACCATTACAAATTCTGCTAAGAATTAAGAAAACAAAGAACTGAGACAGAAATGGAGAAGACTACAAAGACTACATTGAAAGAGAGAACTAAGAGATGACCAGCTCCATAAGAGTGGGACCAAGGCTTGAACTTGTCTATAACCAGGCTCCCGCACCCAGGGTCTGATTCAGTGTCCTCACAATTTTCTTGCTAAATATGCTCATTGTTGTCAGTTTTAATTTAAATTTGGTGAAATCTCAAATAAAGAGATTATTTGCACTATGCCTGTGTGTTCTGCTCACAAGTGCTCTACAGGTGTTCCCAAAGACATCAACACATTTTTAAAAGAAGCTCCTTGGAAGACTAATGGGCACCTCCAACTTAACGTGTCCAAAATCATACTCTTAAGCTTTGTCCCAGATTTGTTCCACTCACTGTTTTCTTCGTCTTAAGTAAATAATGCAGGTGATTTTTTTGTTGTTTCTTTTGTTCACTGCAGTATCTCCAGCACCTAAAACGTGCCTGGAACGTAGTAGGCACTCAGTTGGCATTTGTACATTGAAAGAACGTACCAGCGAAGGAACAAACAAATGAGCCATCAAACTCCACTGCCCTCGGCTTCCCTTTTTATGTTGCATTAAAGAACCACTAGAGGGCTGTAAATCACCGCATGATAAATGAGGAGTCAGTAAGTCTGCACCAGCCTACCCCCAGACCTGTCCTGACAGGTCACTTCAAGATTTGCATATTTAGCATGTCAAATCTCAGAAAAGACCTTTGTGTGTCTTATCTCCACAGTTACTTGGAGCCATTTGAAGTCATGGATTATGGAAATTCTTTAAAGTGCTTAATAAAGATTTCTAGAAATAAAAGAGAGATTCTTTAGAAAGGGTAGAAGCTAAAAGATGTTAAAGAAAGGTGCACGACATAGTATGTGCTCAATAAATAACCATGTTCTAGAGGAAAGAATGAGGTGTTATGGAGACTGACCCTAATAGCGACCCACCACTTGATCTAAACAGAAGGACAAGATGAAGCTAAGAGACAGCTTTGGGTTTAATGGCAGACAGCTGATGGAAGAGGATAATAAGAAATTTTTCTTTGAGACCACATTGTGGTTAGTTCTAGCTCTGTCACATTTTAAAGAGGGATAGCGTCATGCTTGCACCCAAGGGTACAAGTTAGGGAAAGGCTGACTTCTGTTCAATACAAGGATAAACTTTCAGACAAAGAGCCACCCACAAATTTTGTTTTTTTAAAAAAATGATATTTGTATATTCAGGATATATATGATCAAATCTCTAAGAATATTGATAATATAAATTGGTTAAGAAGAAAGTTAGAACGAATCACAGATGCTGAAGCCATAATGTGTATCTAAGGGACTACAGGAGCTTTTAGAGAACACTCCTAATTTTCCCTTCAGGGGGCAGCACAGTGAAATTGTAGGAGCAGTGAGCATGAGGTCTAGGAACCCAGGTTCGGCTAGTTCTGTTTTGATGAACTATATGACCTAGGGAATCCACTTCACCTCCCTGTAAAATGAGGGTTTTAAATGTGATGACCTTTAATGATCCTTCCAGCTTCACATGAAAACTGAAAACTGAAAACCCTCTTCCTGAAAACTCACCGGAACTGCTATCAGAGCCAGAAAGCTGGTCTGCTTAGCCCTTGGTTTGACCCCAGATAACAGTTTTCATTAAGAAGCTGTATCTGCATTAGCTTTCTCAACATCCTCTTCATTCTTGACTTTTATCAGCAACATTTATTGAGGAACAGACACAGTGACAGGTGCTGGAGATAGAAAGATAAAAGATCAGCACTTGCCCTCAAAGCGGTTCCCCTGGAAATGTGAGACGTGTAAATCAGCTGTCCCTATTCAGTGTGATAATCTCTCTGAAAGAGTTTTACCTAAATGTCAAGGGAACCCAGAGGGAGGAGCCAGGCTGTGATAGGGATGGCAGGGAGTGCAGGTCAGGGCAAGTGTTCCTGGGGGAGGTGACCCCTGAACTACATCTAAAGGATGAATTAGAATTAGGAGAGGGGACTGTGGGTGAAAACATGAAGGCATGCAGGGGCCTGCAGGTTAGTGGACCAAAGGCTGCCTGTGGTTACCTCGTGAGACAGCCAGTTAGGTAAGCAGGGTGACCCAGGAGTTGAGGCAGTCTTCTGAAGGTGATGGAGTCACAGTGGAAGCTTTGAGCAGATGAATATTACCAGGCTGTTCTCTAGAAAGATCCCCCAGTCACAAGATAGAGAATGAACGTGGGAGGACAGGAATATGTTACGAGAGGTTATGGTAACAACTCAGGAGGAAATGATATCAGCTGAAATGGGGCAATGGAGAAGGAGGGAGTCTAGAACCGTT